ATCTTGATCAGTTATCATATTTAAACACGAGTATCACAAAATAGGTCATGCCTTGTGGATCAGGACCATTGACCATAGTTTTTGATGAGATTTGTGTAACTAAATCTGATGATAAATGTGAAAATTGTGTTTAACCATGTATAACCCTTGGATGTCCGATGGAGAATGTCTGTCGTAAAGTTTTCATATATTTAAACGTATGTTACAAAATCCTATTGATTTGACTGCATGGTTTATGTAATATCATCCATTATGATAAACAACAACAGCCGATCTGCAAGGTATCCAATCTACATGCCACTCTACATCATGTGATGTTTTACACACCTAGATTAAACCGACGAGGTAATTACTCGACCAATGAAAGTTCTATTTTATAAAGCCGATTTGGCCGAGTGACAAGTACAAGTGGTGCTACCATGACGTCACAGAAACATGGTTTAAGTCTGGCTGGAAAAATAATAAAATTTGCTACTGAAATTTGAAGGTGTCACATTGTCGGGCTCATCCTATGTCGAAATCCTGAAAATTATACTAACCAAACATCGTATGGATTGGGTAATAATATATCACATTAGCACGAAGCTTTATTCACTACTCCTTTCAAAACTTCATTCTCTGTACACAACTTATATTTGGAAAACACTGTCACTAACCCCATTCAAACAAATACAATGTTATATACAGCTATATCATCTCGGGTATTGCCAGTCACAGACTTTTTAGACAGGTTCTCATGGGAAAAGATGAAAAGTAGAAAAGATCCTTTCATCATAAATCAGTTCACTCGAAAATACCTCCCTACTCTAACGATCAGTTTGCGCCAGTTCCCTATTCATATACCGGTATAAAATTCGGCTGGCCACGTTATTTATGATGATCGGAACACGATTGTCAATAACACTTCTCTGCGAAATTTGTTATGCAAAGGCCCGAAATATCGTGAGCCTGAATCATTAAATTGGAAACACAACTTCAAAATATGGAAGAATTCAGTCGGGGATTATGTCAGGCAATGGATTTAACGCAAAAAAGAAGACTTAGATACTTTTTCCGAATGGATTACGGCTTTGAGGTCGTTGATACAAATTAAAAAAAAACAAAAACTTAATAGGTCTATGAATACACATGCTACATCGATCTTTAAAGACCCAAATGTTGCTAAGCACCTGTCCTACCTCCACGACAAAGATGTTATCGTCCCCGTAGATAAAGCCTCAAACAACATCGTTTTTGTGTGTAAATCACTTTAAACTGCCTTATAAACGAATTAGGTATTGGCAATTCACTTGGAAACTCAACATATAACATCACGACACTTACCAAGGAGGAAATCCTGAATAATCATAGGTCTCGTCTATGTTCTTTTGAAATTCCAACCAAAGTTGAAGAACTGGATCTTCTTCATTGTATTGGGGTCCTAAATTGCATGCAAACACCGTTATATAGGTGGGTCGTGCAAGTGCTCCACGAAACTTCTTTTATTAATTTATTAACATCATTTTTATCAGCAATCAAAACTAGGCTTCAAACTTATTGTGAAACTACCTACTCTAGGGGTGGCTTGAATCAGACGTGGATAAAAAAATCCAAAGATCTGTTTAAGTGCATACAATCTTAGCCTCTTTTCTCTTGCAATAGTATTACAACATTTTACTTTTCTAACCTTTACACAAGTATTCCCCTTCCAATCTATCAGAAAGGTAGATTTTTCTGAAAATAAAACTATACAGCTGCTATTAAATTTCCTGTACACTCTGTTCGTGAAATATTCTTAATATTTACATATTAAGTATCGATTTCAAACCCGAATGGCTGTAGGCGCGATAAAAACCCGTCAGCATCCCTTACCTGTATCATGAATCTATAAAAAAAAAAAAAAACAATTTGATATATTTCTGATCTCGAACTTTGTACACTGCTGACTCGCATGAATAAATACAATTTACTGATATATACAATATTCGTAAAGTGTAGGAAAATATAAAATTTACTTGAAGAGCTTTAGAAATAGAAAGAAAAGCGATACCCGCCGAGCTTTTTCTCCAGTTTTATAGCAAGAACAAATAAATTTTATATTTATTTTTAAACCATACGAATATTGTTCATATCCTGCAATTTAGCATTGAGCTTAAACGTATAGTTATTTTCCAATCCAAATTGTTGTGAATAAAATCGACATCACTTAAACGCGGACCGCAATGAGGACCCCAAATTGAACTGTTAAATCAAAAGTTCCGGTTTGCTGATGAAACAAAGAAAAACACTAGTTTCTATCATGCAAATAAACAAATACAATCCGACAAATCGATTATCAGGTTGTCTGCATATTGTAAAATATCAGCTGCTCGACACAATATGAAGCCTGTTTGAACTCGTTCGCTGCACTCACTCGACAAAAAAAAACTTCATACTTTTTTTTTTGCAATATCAATATGCAGACTACCTGATAATCGGTACGTGTTTTTCTTTGTTTCACCAGCAAACCGGAAGATGACTTGATAAGTTCGAGTCAGACTTATCAACGTCGGTTCATTCATTATGACGTCGTTGATAAGGCCTGTGTCCTATAGCCATTTTTCCCCCATGCCAATTTTTCCGGGGGGAAAACTGGATCGATCCAGTTCTTCCCCCCGGAAAAATTGGCATGATCCCTCTTTTTCCCCTCTGTCTAATTGGGGATTAAGCCGATTTTACCCCGAGAAGCAAGAGAAGCTAATTTTTCCTCCTTGTAGTATAACGTCGGCGACGTCAGTTAGAAAATTTATTCATTAAAGAATAGATACCATTTTTAATTAGTTAAGCGTTACCACACCAACATCGTATTATTATACATTTAATATCAGATGATTTATATATATGTATATATGAAGCACATTCTGATGTGGTGATCACATCCATTATCCTTGGTGAACCCTTGGTATGTGTTACGTGACTTTCTGTAGTAGCCCGTAAACCTATGTCCTAGTTGAAGCCCACATAAAGAAGGAATTTGGTCGGATGGTAACAATTGTTGTAGGATTGTTTGAAACAAATGATAGATCATAGCCTCTCTCTTTTTTATCACACTTTAATGTAAAATTCTTTCTCCTGTAGATATATATTAGTCCATTATTCTGTTTCAATCAAGTACTGTTGAACATGGAGACAGACAAGTGGACACATAGAGAGTAGACAGACTGGTGAACATGTAGAATGACTGATGGACACGCAAACAGACAAGTAGACACATAGACAGAAGACATACTGGTGAACGTATGGAATGACTGGTGGATACGTAGACAGATAAGTAGACACATAGACAGAAGACAGACTGGTGAACATGTGAAATGACTGATGGACACGTAGACAAATAAGTGGACACATAGATTGTAGACAGACTGGTGAACATGTGGAATGACTGATGGACACGTAGACAGACAAGTAGACACATAGACAGAAGACATACTGGTGAACATGTGACATGACTGATGGACACGTAGACAGACAAGTGGACACATAGACAGTAGACAGACTGGTGAACATGTGAAATGACTGATGGACACATAGACAGACAAGTGAACACATTGACAGTAGACATACCGGTGAACATGTGACATGACTGATGGACACGTTAACAGACTGGTGGACATGTAGAGAGACATGTGGACATGTTTACGGATGAAACATTTTAGCCTATCATATGTCAATGAGTTGCAATTTTATTCATATTTTTAACAATATATCAATGGGTTGAAATATCTTTATGAATATCAAATAAATTCATTCCTGCGGTGAAAGTGTTAATCTCCAACTTTTACAGTAGCATTTTATCATCCACAGTAATTATGAATAGGAACACATTTTCATGTCAGCCATACGAAGAGATTGGATTTTTGACAGACTCATTTTATGAATGGGGTATTTTTAAGAATTCAAACGGCATCCCTGTAACAAAATACAGGTGCTCCACCCCAACTCCCTGACCCTATGCCTATTTAAGTGACATGCGTGTCAACAAAATGAACACAATGTGTAACTAACATTTCTTGAAAAGCAGCCCAAGCCGAAAAACATATTATTTTAGCATTTCAGAGATCAATTATTTCTTCAAAAAAAGCGGAATATATATTACATAAATCGTGCAATTTTGATGTATATATTATATATAGTGAAATCTATACTGAGGGGGGAAATATTGGCATGGGGGAAAAGTTGCTATATATATACGTATTGTCAAATTTCCGCGGGGGAAGAATGGCAATGATCCAAAATTTCCCCGGGGGGAAAATAAGCTCATGCCAGTTTTTCCTCCGGGAGAAAAACTGGGATGGGGAAAGAATGGCTATATAACTCTGGTTCATGACGTCACAAAGCCGTGATATGCAATGTTATGAAGAGCTGAGCAGGGTGTTAAAGGCAAAGGAAAGGACGATGAAAGAATATATATATATATAACATGTACAAGCATGTGCCGTTACCCCTATATAACATTGTACAAGCATGTGCCGTTACCCCTATATAACATGTACAAGCATGTGCCGTTACCCCTATATAACATGTACAAGCATGTGCCGTTACCCCTATATAACATGTACAAGCATGTGCCGTTACCCCTATATAACATGTACAAGCATGTGCCGTTACCCCTATATAACATGTACAAGCATGTGCCGTTACCCCTATATAACATGTACAAGCATGTGCCGTTACCCCTATATAACATGTACAAGCATGTGCCGATACCCCTATATAACATGTACAAGCATGTGCCGTTACCCCTTATTTTTAATGTCGAGAAAACAATAATAATTAGTGCTGACATTACATTAGAAAAATAAACCGAATCTAATCTAGTACATTCAATATGAAAAAAAATAAAGTTTGGTTTTTGTTGATGTGGTTAATTGTAAATAACTAGATAAACAAAATAACAATCCGGAAGTATCATGTGCGAAGGTACATGTATAAATTGTATAACAATTAACTTGAATTGAACTCTGACATAAACTGAAATGTTTCCCCGAAGCCGGTGTAATGGTGTGTTAAGTAGAGTGAAGTGATCATTTCCAGGTGATTTCATTAATATCCGGCTTCGACAACCTTCCTTCTAAAAAAGTCAGTGTCACAGCGTGGATTCTGATGATTTAAACATTTTATAAAATTGAGAAGGTAAGAAACCCTTATTTTTTAGTATCAACATTACATGAATAGACAGATTCGATTTTTTAAATTACCATTCATATGCAAACATTTATTATTTCCGTCGAAAAATCTGGGAATGTTAAAACAAATAACTTCCTCGCATTCGGTTGTATCAACCGTAAGCGATACATTTCTTACTTTGTCAAGAAAAACTACTTCCATTCTAACAAAAAGTTCTTTGACACCAATACCATCAAGATGCTTGATTTTTTATCATTGACAACATATATTTGTTACGTTTGATGGTCCTTTTCAACAGACAATCGGCATTCCTTCGGGAACCAACTGCATCATCTTGCTGATTTTTTTCCTTTATTCCTATGAGACAGACTTCTTTAAGAAGTTTCTGAAGAAAAATGAAAAAAAATTAGCGTTAACCTATAACTTCATGTTGCGCTTTAAAGATGATGTCCAAATACTGAATGATTTAAAGCTATGGTGTTCGCATCTACATGAATCCCAATGAATTTGAGATAATGGATATCATATATATAGTTATGTCTGCTTTATATCTGGACTTGCACATAACAATATACAATAATGGTCGATTGAGAACTTTACTTTACGACGAAAAGGATGAATTCGGTGAAGCAACATTTCAGTAGATATAGATAATACAGAGTTTATATATCACAGTTGATACGATATGCTTGACCCAGTGTTTCCTATCATGACGTCTTTGATAGACAATTGATGTTACAAGAAATCTATTGAACCAAGTATGTCAGAGGGTAAAGTTCAAATCATCACTTTAAAGACTTTACGGTGGCCATCATAATTTGCATGGTCGACCGGTACATAATATCTGTGTCACAGATGACCATTGATGTAATTCGCTAATCTTAGCCAAAATTTCATGTTTTTTAATCGACTGGGACCTCCCCGAATGCGACTATCCTTCTAATCTTTTACAGTTGCTATGGTGGTATGGAGTTCACCCCCACGGTATATATATATATATATATATATAGCATCTAAAAGTAAACAGCCATTTTCTCTGAAGGGACTAGTTTAGTATAGCGAGCCTTTACATTCAAATTATATACATGTCTTGTTTCGTCAATAAAGGCAAACAAATACAACAAAACCAAACATATTGTTTAACTATTATAGTAAGTCATAATTGGGTTAATACGGAGTATTGCAAAGATTTCCGTACTTGGTACAGCTTCTAAGTATATAAGTTGTTCACTTTGTAATACTTCAAAAGTAAAGATGGTTATTTAATTAGTTATCTTTAAAATTATCTAAACATTTCGTTTTATTTTATCTCATGGTTTTAAACTATTCGCTGGAAAAAAATGGAGAAGGCAACTGCAACTGCCTCTAAATAATTATAAAAATATAACAACCATGAATATTTCACTTACGGTAGACGTGCTCTACTTTTGTAATGATAAATCATGTTAAAACACACTTGACAAATTAGATCATTTTCTTTTCAGGATGTTACTCTTCAAGAAATTGTTTAAGTATTACAATCTCGTGGTTACTCTTCATTGCATAAGATATATACTTTCTGCCGGTAAGTTTAAGTATTACAATTTCGTTGTTACTCTTCATTGCATAAGATATATACTTTCTGCCGGTAAGTTTAAGTAGTTATCTGTAAGCAAAACTACACTTGATAGTTGGTAAACGTTTTAAACAAGACAGCAACTAAACAACACATATTGAAACAAATTATAATAGAATTCATATCATGTGAAAATTGCCAAGCTTTTAAATGGTTCTATAATGATGACAAGTTATCAATAAGTTAGATTCTTGGCTTCGGCGATTTTAAACAAGTCTGTGTTTTTGTCTGTGAGGCATGATTTCAGCAAGTTGCAGTTGGCTCTAGGTTGGCTTTCAGTAACTTAGGGTGCTCTTGGATTAGTATTTTGTGTCTTCAACTGATGTGTTGATTTTTTTGTTGTTGTTGCTGTGTGTAGATGAGTGTTACTGGTATAAACAACATACTTTTGTTTTTGTTACGTGGACAACAAAATATAAAATAAATGGAGTTGTAGGGAATATATTAACGAGACAGCAAGTCTAACTGTCAAAAATAACCAAAAGACGTTTAAAGGACAAACCCCAGTAATTGGCAGATGTTTTTATAATATATAAATCTTTAAATCGTCTCGAGTATAAAAAGATGTGCATGAAGTAAACCAAAACAGTCCAAAGTAAGTCTAAAAAAACACCCACCAAACTGAATGTCTCCAAATAACCCACAAAAAAAAAACCATGAAGATATGACATATCCCAAGCAGTGACGAGATTGCTGAGTAACATTTTTTGATGAAGAAACTTAAGTGGTTCTTGTGGCCTGTATTAAAACGTTCATAAGTAATTTGAAGTGGCTAGAAATATATAACTACATAAATATGTCAAAGTTTACACATTGTTTTAATACGTTAGTAGGTTTTGGTTTCAAATCCGTAAATCCTTAATCGTGATATTTAGTATCGATTGAAATAGTACTACACTCGTGGGAACATATTTATACGATACAATACAAGTCTACTTAAAATAATTTTGAATCACACCTTATTGAACTTTAACAAACATGGAAATATATTACGTGGTAATTGGTTTAAAGTTAGTGCACCTTCTAATGTCGACGAAAGTGCATTAAACATTAAAACTAGAAGCATGCATAAACCTCTGGTGTATTAGACAAATTTACTGTCATATGGCAGTACTGTAAAATGTGGTAGTATCAGAGATATGAAGTAGTAATCCTTATTAGGATCATGCAAAATCCATATTTTGTGATTCACTTCTTGAAAGGCTGGAGAGGAAGTAGTAATATGTTCCACTTTTTATTGCCTTACCAGACATATAATTGGCATATACTTTACAATAGATTATATAGGATATTATTGGAGTTATCTCCCTCAACATGAGTTTTATAATGCATTCTCTAGAATGTGCATCTCACCTGATTAGGGTTCATATAAAAAAAAATGTACATGAATTTCAACATAATTTTATGTCTTTAATAAGATAATATAGATATAGGAAGATGTGGCATGAGTGCCAATGAGACAACTCTCCATCCAAGTAACAATTTATAAAAGTAAACCATTATAGGTCAAGGTACGGCCTTCAACACGGAGCATTGACTCACACCGAACAGCAAGCTACAAAGGGCCCCAAAAATTACTAGTGTAAAACCATTCAAACGTGAAAACCAACGGTCTAATCTATATAAAAACGAGAAACGAGAACCACGTATGAACTACATAAACAGACGACAACTACTGTACATCAGATTCCGGACTCAGAACAGGTGCAAACATTTGCAGCGAGATTAAACGTTGTTCTTTTTTATTTGTAAGCTTTCCACTCATGACTCATATTTGCATGATTCTTATATGGACAGGTAGTTAAAAGAATCATTAGGAACGCAAGAAGCAACATATTAATATTGCCGGCACTTAGAAGTGCTGGCTAAGACGGAGTGGACATTTTCCCACTTCAGCATATATGTCCTTTCCCAGGTTTGCATGTTTTTATTGAAATATAGAACACATGAAAATAATATTTCTTTTCTGGATCAAAACTGAAATTGTCAGATTTTGCAGATGACATATATACATGTAGGTATTTACATAAATAGGAGAAGATGTGGTATGAGTGCCAATGAGACAAGCCCCCCCCCCCCCTGACCCCCCTTTTGGGTCAGCCACTTCAAATTAGTAAACAGCCTGTTCATTGATAAGTTATTGAAAGCCCTGATTGCTAAAACAACTTTTTTATGTACAATGTATTGCAAAGCATCCATAATACTGCTGCCAATTAGATATATACTATTTCTCTTTTAGATGAACAACAAACAGTGTATGTTCTTATGAACATGACAGAAGTGTTCCTGAACTGTTCATCGAATAAAGAGGTATACTATCCATTCATTCTCGATTTGATATTGGGTTTTTACTACTTTTGTTGTATGTTCTTCAACAGACTAACTGCTTTAAACGTTTCATGTAAACCACAGTAATGTAAACGTTGGTTCAGCTGTGTTGTCGTAGAAATGTCAGTTTATAACTTAATGATAACAATATTTATCTTACCTCGTGAATACTTCTAGGAATATCATTGGTTAAAAGCGAACACATATTTACATTGTTCTGTTGTGTTTTATTTACAAAACTTACAACACTGAAACATGTGAAAACCACCAGCTTAAGTCAATTTCATTTTGTAGTGTGTTTCTTTTCATAATCATTTGAATGCGTGTTATTAGAATACAAACCAAGTATTTCGGTTTTGCTATATGAGGGGATATATTGTATAGACGAGTCAAATCATGGCAGTACTAATGTATCTTTAAACGAGGTCTTTCTCTGGTAAGCAATAAAGCATACATTTTTAATTGAGAAATCGTCCATGAATTTCTTTCAGGTAGCATGGGAACGAGGTGAAGAGATTTTAGTACAGGGAGGAATGAAAGTAACATCTGATCCAAGAATTCAGATGATCATAGATACACATGTAAAAAAGTTGCATATCAAAGATATAACAAGTAATTATACTGATATATATCGATGTGTAGATTATGTCTCGGGACAGATCACGAATGTTTCCATTGCAACGTACAATGTTATTGTAGTTGGTAAGTGTTGTCATTATTGTAGTTCATTTTAGTTTTATTATTGCCTTGTTTATGTCCATTGTTTTCAATTGGCTGTAGTTTTATTGTTGCCATAGAAACATTGTTGTAAGCATGCAGTAGCTTCGTCTTTCCAATAGCAACATACACATTTATTAATTTATTTGTATAACCCATATTGGCGTACTTTACTATTTCACATCAACGCTAACTATTCTTGTAGTGGTGCTGTTGCATTACAGTGTACTGCAATGTTGCAGCTTAACATTTGAAAAGGACGAGGTCTGAAGGTTAACATTCGCGGAAAGTAGGATTTCACGCCATTGTTCCTAAATGTTACATGAATATTCAAAAAATACAATTTCAACCTTTTAGAGAATACACTTTCAATGTAAATTTAACTGTGGAAGTGTATTGAGGTCATATCGTGTATCAATGTTGTTATAGTTGTAGCTATTAAACTAGTGAGTATAACCATGAAATATTTAGACTATATAGGTCTACATTGTCCAGTTATCTGATTAATTGTCAACGGGACTATATTGGTCGACATGGTCCAGCTTTCTTAGTAACTGCCAGTGTGGGTATAAGTGTTAGGTTCTTGTGGCATTATTATTTAAATACAGGAGATGTGAGAAAAACAATATAATCTTCTTATAAGAGATTTTATTTTAACCGTTGTAGAGGACATTTATATAATGGACAATACAACAAGCTTCACAGCAGTAGAAGGGACGACCGTTAATTTGACTTGTCCTGTTTACGGCAGACCCGAACCTAACATTAAATGGTACATCAGTAGTAATCCTTTACAAGGTAATCACATACATAAAGACACGCACACACACTCACATAGGGAAATTAAGGATGTTCGTCCTGTGTACGTCCTGCCAAAACTATTAAGTTAGATAACATTAGTAGGAATTTTCTACATTGTAATCACATATATACCGGAAGTGTACAGTATAGCGATAAATAGAGCGACAAAGAGAGCGAAAGGGAAATATTGTCTCGGCAAACACAAACCTGTGATTACATGGTACATCAGTAGCAATCCTCTCTTAATTAATCGAGGAAGTAAAAATACACACACTCAAACACGAACACACAAGGAGAAAAATAGAAAAGGAAGGTCGTCCTATGCGAGGGATAAATAAATGATACATTAGTAGAAATCGTGTAATAAATATATTGCAGTTCATACATACAGACAACACACCATAGCAGTCCATACATACAGACGACACACAGACAACACACAGACGAACAGACAACACATCAAATAACCTGTTGACATTAGACATTAGATATATTATAATTATGTACTTACAAATTGTTATAATATCATTCCGAAAAAAAATGATTGTAATACTATGCAAATGTATGATATAGTTCTTATTCATTTTACTTACTGTACAAACCAGATGACTGAATCACTGATATGAAGCAGTCCATACATACAGCGACACACCATAGCAGTCCATACATACATACAACACCATAGCAGTCCATACATACAGACAACACCATAGCAGCCCATACATACAGATAACACCATAGCAGTCCATACATACAGACAACACACCATAGCATTCCATACATACAGACAACACACCATAGCAGTCCATATATACAGACAGCACCATAGCAGTCCATACATACATGCAACACCATAGCAGTCTATACATACAGACAACACCATAGCAGTCCATACATACAGACAACACCATAGCAGTCCATACATACAGACAACACCATAGCAGTCTATACATACAGACAACACCATAGCAGTCTATACATACAGACAACACCATAGCAGTCCATACATACAGACAACAAATTGTTATAATATGATGTTGAAAAAAATTGATTGTAATACTATGCAAATGTATGATATAGTTCTTAATACATTTTAAACTTACTGTACGAACCATATGGCGGAATCACTGATATGAATACATGTATAGTCAAACGGAATCACTGATATGAATACATGTATAGTCAAACGGAATCACTGATATGAATACATGTATAGTCAAACTTATTTATGATTAATTTGAATTTTTAATTTGTATTAATTGATTTGTTTTGTTGTAGATATTGGTATATCTGGAAATGTGTTAGAAATACGAAATTTTACTAGGGATTGTGAGGTACCTTATATGTGCATAGCGAAGCATAATTTTACTAAATCTTTAAATCATACTTGGAAGCCTATAACAAAATGTAAGTTTATCTCATGTTACACCATTCTTTAAGTTTCCTGTGGTTTGTATCATTTTATTTTTGTTCGTTGTTTTTGTAAGAAAGGATAGAAAACTCATTGTTCATCATAGATTATAAATCAAAAGAGAGAGAAAAGTGACAATACTCGAACTTTGAAAAACGACAAAGGACAAGACCATGGCCATGTATGCACTCAGAAACAAATTAATAATTTGTTTACTAGTAACACTACCTTTATGTCAGTTCCGCTACTGCTGCACCGTCACTCCCTCATGGATGCAGTAAGCACATATGACATTTTTATTAAAGAAGCACCTGTCGTGTGTGTGTATCAACCGTTTTATTGCATAATGTAAATCGTGTTTCTACTCAGATACCAATATGTTTTTTTTTATATTATATGTATTTTCAATCTGTCATATCTTAAAAGCGAAAAATATTTACTTCAAATGTTTGGTAGGAATTCGTTGTCACCACCCAGTTAATTATTTTGGAGTTACGAAACCTCTTTACAACTCTCAACCAGGAACGAAATAGCGTATAAGTTAGCAACTATATGTTACCATACGGTCTTCAACAATGAGCATCACCCATAACGCATGGCAAACTATAAAAAGCCCCGACAGAAAAAATGTAAAACAATTCGGCTATTGGCCTGATTTATGTACAAAACAATAAACGAAAACAAATGCTTTACAGCAACAAACAAAATCCACTGAATTTCAGGCTGTTTACTGGAGACAGGCATATGAACAAAATCTATACCGCATTAGTAAGATATAAAAGGCCCCGAAATGACAAATGTAAAACAATTCAAACAAGAAAACTAACGGCCTGATATATGTACAAAACAATAAACAAAAAAAAAACAAATATGATATACAGCAACAAACAACAACTACTGAATTACAGGCTCCTGACTTGGGACAGGCACATACATAATGTGGAGGGGTTAAACATGTTTGCTGGCGCCATAGCCTCTATATACATACCTAGAATTTTAACTGTAGCAAACACATGTATTAAGTGAATATATTATGATGTTTTTTCTGTCTTTGTTAGTTCCACCAGATGTCACTGCGAATGTTGATCTCCATAAATTCAACAGAACGAGTGAAGGAATATACTTCTCAGCTAAATTTAGTGATAAATTCAAAATTTCATGTAAGATCACAGCAAACCCGTTTTATAATGTAACATGGACTAAAGGTGATACGTGGCTAGCAAATATTACTTATAAGGGTAAAAACATGGCAAGCATCAATACAAATACAAATTTAAGTATAAGTTATGATTGTACTTTTGATTTAAAACCTATCAATCTTAGTGAACACATTCATAACACTTCTATCTCGAGCCGTCTTATACACCCAGATGGGTTTGGTGAATATAGATGTATAGCCTCAAATGAATATGGTAATGATGAACAAATTATCAATATAATTCAGAAATTTGGATAAAATACTTCCTCGTGTTTACTAATTTTGTTTAATTGTTTTCTTTGCCAACTACTGCTTCATCTGAGCTTTGCCAAAAATGGTTATACGGTTGTGTTCAGTAGGGTGAGAACAATAACCAAATGTGTGTGTTTAATTTTGATGAGAATACCCAAATGTGTGTGTTCAGTAGGATGAGAACACCAATAAGATTGATGTGCTCCGTCGGATGAGATGGTAGATGGGAATTATAAATAAATGTGTGTGCTCAGTCTGATGAGAACAATAATTAAATATGCGTGCTCAAACGGATAAGAACAAAAATCAACGTTGTTGTGCCGCTCAGTCGAATGAGACCAATAACTAAATGTACTTGCTCCGTCGGATGAGAACAGTAACCAAAATGTGTGTGCTCAATAGAGGAGAATTATAGATAAATGCGTGTGCTCAGTAGGATGACCACAATAATAAAATGTGTAAGCTCAGTCAGATGAGAACAAAAACCGAATATGTGTGCTCAGTAGGATGAAAACAATAACCAATAACCAAAGGTGTGTACTCAGTTGGATGAACACATTGATCTAATGTGTGTACTCAGGAGGATGAGAACATAAATATTCAATGTATGGTTTATGGAACATTTGGAAATATTATAGTTTATGAGGAGATCAGTTATTTGAAAGAAAATATCAAATGTTCTCTGCTTCAAATGTAAAAACATGCTGAGAGCATACGAATGCACAATTGAGGTTGTAGTAGTAACAAATTGAAGCAGACCGAAAACTTAGCGTGTATATGTTGTAGTGAAAAAAATGCACTGTGTAATGGTTTTATAAAATCGCTGAAATTGTTATTTGTTCGCATTCATCATATAAGTGTGTGTGTGTGTGTGTGTGTGTGTGTGTGTGTGTGTGTGTGTGTGTGTGTGTGTGTGTGTGTGTGTGTGTGTGTGTGTGTGTGTGTGTGTGTGTGTGTGTGTGTGTGTGTGTGTGTGTGTGTGTGTGTGTGCCAAACACGTACTGCTATTGTTCTAAAATGTAAAACATAATAGAAAAGTAAGGGTAGGGTTTATCAATTAATAACACAAAATTACTACACGTACATAAAAAAAAAAAACAAATACAAAGAACACTGGTTGTTTTATTTTAACAAAACTGGTTATTATAGAGTGATAATGAATAAAAAAAAAAACACGTGTACAGACTCAAAGTACTTATTTTGTATAATAAAGTTTGGATGACGACTATATGATTACATAATTGTCTAATGATTTTGTTCAAAATTATTATTGTAGATCATTCATATTTCTTAAAAGGCCTTGACAAATCTGAATGGAAAGTACTAGTATTTGACATAAATATATCATGTGTTTGTTTGCTCTTTGCTAAACGTCCATTGGCAGATGGCAGACAATATTTAGGACGAGAACAAATCGACACTAAATTAAATCGGCAGGTTCTGCAAACTGGGTCATCTGAGGTAAAGGGTAGACAATTTAGACTGCCACTAGGAAAATAGGGGCAGACATTTTACATTACAACAGACCACCTACATCCCCATAAAATAGTTGTGTGCCAAGCCTTTATCATCCCCATTCTGACTGGTTGTGGCTCCGTATTTATACAACCCACACAAGAAAACGAAAACATCGCTTTTGATCAGCACCTAGTATAAATAATATAAAATCCAACATGCTCTCGGAAAACTATTGGCTGATTTTGGCTTAACGCCAATGCTTTTACAAACATTTTGACTTTTTGTGGAGTTCTAATGATTCTGATGACACATACTTATTGATTTCCGTCCTTGATCATTTTTAACTTCAGTATTACCTATTGAAGTTTTGTGATTTTCTATACTATGTTGTACGGTTTTCTATTACATTTCTATGAACTATATATATATATGTGATATCCTCCATGTAAATATAGATAATTTTAAAATATAACCGTTTCGAAGATATGGTTTTAACCAAGGTTTGTTTATACATGGAAAGATTGTCAAATAAAAAAAAGCAGACTAATAATAAATTATGTTGATGTTGATGAGTAGAATATATTTATTGTTTGTAAATCAATGAATTAAACCAGAGATCTCAAAAGTCGATGACAAACTAAAAACGCCATGGTAAAAAAAAACGAAAAACGGACAAAGGACAAACAACCGTATACAAAACACAACATAGAAACCTATAACGCCTTAGCAACACGAACCCCACCAAAATCCGGGGATGGTATCAGGTGGCCCGGAAGGGTAGGCAGATCCTGCTCTACATATGGTAACCGTCCTGTTGCTCATGTAAGTACAAACTCGGTGATAAGTCTGATCAAGATTTTACTCTTGGCGCGTAACTTGGCAAGATTGAAATACTCGGTTAGCCTCGCACATTCTGTCTGCTTTTTAGTCTTATTCAAATATGTTTAAATATTGAGACAATCTATTGTTATTCTATATGTACAGTTAAGTCTATGACTTAAGGATTCAAAGTTGGTTTAAACTAGAATGTGTTTATCCTGAATGGAGGGGGCCTCGGTGGCCGAGTGGTCTAAGTAGTCGAACTACTGTATCACTAGCCAATCAATCAATCAATCAATCAATCAATCAGTCCTGAATGGAGGCTGTTTTACTTGTGTAAAATTTTGTTTGTGTTCAAGATCCAAATTCATGTGTATAAGAGATAGCGACCGTTGAACACGTTGTGTTACGTTTTGCTGTGCCTTTATCTAGTCTTTCTCACAGTCGAATAAAGAAAGTGAAAGAATTTAAATGATTTGCATTTTTCTGTTTTGACCTTCTCGAACTGCTGTAAACTTCGTTTGGTTAGATGACATTATCTATATATGTATAATTCATGTAGATGACGTTTTGTTATCCGAACCATACCCAAGAGTGATTGTATTGTATAGTTAGGCCAAGAATAAAAATAGCGACAGTCTTCCCTTGTTATCTACGTATTTGGAGAAAAGTATAATGTTTCAAACATGATTGGGAAATTAAAGACTAGTTTCGTACATGTAGCAATGGGGGTCAGCTATTGCAGCACCTTCCGGAGCAGGCGAATGTACTCTAAAGTGATTTTTTTTTTAAATGGCAGATTAAAAAACTTTGAGATTCATACACAGTTTTGATAATCTGAAATGTGCATTCATCATGCTTTTAAAAATGGATATACACATCAACAGATTTGAAGTTTCTCACATTGGGACAGAGCAACGTTTTTGTTCCTTTCATAAAAAAAATATATATATACATGTATGCCTTTACTTAACACGTGTTAGATAAATGTTTATAGGTATATTTTTGTATACTGTAAATTCAGAAATTATTGAGAGGTTTTTATAAATGCGACTCCTTAAGTACCGCAATGCTAAAAAATATCTGGTACAAATATCTGTTTGTAGCTTTCCCTAAAATTGTAATAATTAAACTCGCAATTTTGTTCATTCTTACAAAATCTCAATAATAAATGCCCGCAATAATTTCTGTATTTACAGTATATAGAAAAAATGCATGTGATACAGTATATAATAAGGAGATTTGATATGATTGCCAGTGAGAGTTTTTGAGACACTATCCAACAGAGTCCAAATGAAGCGGATCTTTAAGCAACTATATGTCACCGTACGGCCTTCAACAATGAGCAACTGTTTCAACTGTTTGATTATTTCAATATAAGAATCTACTTCATTCTTTAAGTTATTTTATAAAGAAGAGAAAATTCTTTCTAGACAAAACCACCACTTAGCTGTCTCGTATGCACAGCCCCTCAAAATATGATGTCAATAAGAACTAGAGGATCAATCCTGCCTGAATCTTTCATCTGGGAAAAAAATATATCGTATTGATACTACCGTAAAAATCAGGATAACAAATATTGATAAAATCTTCCTAGCATCTCCTCCCCCACACAAACACTTGTAACAATTCGTAGTTGCTGTCTATTTATAATATATAATTATTTATCAATTATGGACTTTTGACGAGGTCAATACGTTATATATGGAATCTGAACAGGTCCATATATATAAAGTATTGACTGAGTGCTGAAAGTCCTTAATTTATATATTACATATGTAAATAGTGTAAGTTTGAAAATAATATTGACTCGATGTAACTAATTTTAGTAACATGGAGTCAATATCATTTTAAAAAAAGAGTAGCGTCGAGTCAATATGTCAAAATAGTAAAAAAATACAAAATATATAATGGAAAACACTTGACTGAATAAACCAATGAGAAACAAGAAAAATCAAACCATTATGTAATATGATAAATTATGAGATAATAGGCAGAATCTCAAACAATGTTTTAAACGCATGTCTATATCTATTTTGGCACTTTTTTTAAATGCATTTAATTTCACATATCCACTCATGCACTGCAGTTATAAAATCATCAATGTTGGTGGATAACTAGAAACCAAAAAAAAACAGGACCAATACCGGGTCTAAACCAGCGACGCTGCATGAAACTGAAGTTGGTTGCATGAAGAAGCCATTGAAGCCACGAAAAGTTTGACGAAAATTTTCCTTCTACAATGAGTGTTGTTAAATTTCAATTGCAAAGTATTGACAAACATGAACTGGCTGCACGGAGATGTAAAAATTTCTTACATGCTACAACTCATCACTATCAAGGTAAGGTGCAGACCAAAATATTAAGACAAATTCCTGCATTTTTCTCTTATGTTCAATTTTTAAGCCATGGCAGACATAATGGTCGACGAATTAAAGGTACTAACTTTAATCTAAATACCCTGAGAATCAGTCATATGAAGTCTTATTAAAGTATGTTCGAACCGCCTCGGTGGCGTCGTGCTAGCGTGTTCGCCTCTGGTGCGGGAGGTCGTGGGCTCGAACCCCGGCCGGGTGAAACCAAACACTCTAAAATTGATATTCTCCGCTAAGCACGCGGCAATAAGGAGTAAGAGCAAAGACTGGTTGGCTCGGAGTCAGAATAATGTGCCGGGTACAGTGACATGTCTTCCTGCGGACTGTTACCTTGTGAACTAGCACGTTAAAATCCGGCCCAGCGTGTCGTTCTAGTACAAAACAGAGTAAATATTTATTTTACATTAACATGTTCTCGTCCTGACTATGCATATTAATTTGCCGCTGGACGTTAAGCAGCCATTCACCCATCATCATCAAATATGTTCAGAGGAGAAAATCTTTGAATGAATTAAAAAGTTAACGAGAAAGTGAGCTAAATACTGTTGCATTAATAACTTTTTATGATATTCTAATATAAGCAAGTGATAGGTTCAAAGAAACGGACTGTTTACATACACACACATTGGAGTTGATGAGTCAAAATCAACGTTAACGTGTTTTGAACATGACTCAAACAGCGGACAGATAACTCAATTGGTAGCGCCGTTTTATACTGCTTTTACATGTTCTATACATACTCGGAAGTTTCTCCTGTCATCTATCTTGCAACTAAGGTTGAACTGTTTGATATAAGATATAGAGGACTTGTCTTGTTTGACTTATAACGTGTGCTTGTTACTATCATATTACTATTGATGGAGGACTTGTCTTGTTTGACTTATAACGTGTGATTGTTACTATCATATTACTATTGATGGAGGACTTGTCTTGTTTGACTTATAACGTGTGCTTGTTACTATCATATTACTATTGATGGAGGACTTGTCTTGTTTGACTTATAACGTGTGCTTGTTACTATCATATTACTATTGATGGAGGACTTGTCTTGTTTGACTTATAACGTGTGATTGTTACTATCATATTACTATTGATGGAGGACTTGTCTTGTTTGACTTACAACGTGTGATTGTTACTATCATATTACTATTGATGGAGGACTTATCTTGTTTGACTTATAACGTGTGATTGTTACTATCATATTACTATTGATGGAGGACTTGTCTTGTTTGACTTATAACGTGTGATTGTTACTATCATATTACTATTGATGGAGGACTTGTCTTGTTTGACTTATAACGTGTGATTGTTACTATCATATTTCTTTGTCTTAAACATGTACATGTTGTATGAGGGTAGGAATGTCCTTTAACGTTAAGCGTCAAACGTCTGTGTTTCGTTACCGTTACCGGTCAAATGAACGTTATTTTAACAAATATTTTACCGTCATTCGTCATGTAGAGTACCCCATTCCTACCCTCTTGTATGTTTAGATCGTTTAGAATATAATGCCGATCAATCTAGAATAATTAATCAGTGACTGATCTTAAAAGTTAATATTTAATATTTTCAAAAATTCAAAATTAGCAAGTATTATTTACAGACGTGTATGTACTACAAATAATGTTTTGGCTTACTTATCTATTCTGGAAAATATGTGTATCATTGCAAATTATTCAATATTACAAAAATGATACCACAGGATCCTATCATATGTTTCATAAATGTGTTTGAGATACAGCTCTAACATTTGGGTACAGAACCCGTACGTTCGGTACCTGTAACGTTTTAACTTTTGTCTTATCAGTAAATAAAGACAAATTTTTAATACTGCTTCGGCTTATAGCACTGGTCGGTCGTGAAGATCCGAAAAAGTGCCTGAGTGAATTTGTCAACCTACGTCCAAGACCCAGAACACCAGTGTTCTTTTGAGAGGACGATTGAGCCTCGTCTTGATTTTTCATCATTTTAGCAAGCTGTGTTATATTTCTAAGATTTTTCTGTGTTTTAAAACTTTTCCATGCACGTTGTAGAGTTTTGGCAGCAACATCTTCTTTTTTCTTTGTCATAGTACTTGATGTTTTTGTAGTTTTAACCCTTGTGGGAAAAGTTTCGGCGAATTTTATTTGAAGTTCCTCTCTAAGCTGTTTAAATTCTTCAGTTTCTTCCACATTCCCTAACACATGAATCACTAAATGCATAAGAATATCTAAGCAATGCATCTTGTCTCCTTGTACGATAGGAATATCAAATGCTACCAAAGCTATTTCATTAGGTGCCGGTATTCCTAAAGGTTCATCGAGCTCTCCCACAAACGGTGATAGTTTGTCAAACTTGATAAACTGTGTCGCTAGTGGATCATACTTCTCCCAC